CAACTTGGCCAAGGCAGCAAGGTGAATTTCGGGTAAAAATGGACATCCCGTTTTTTGATGGAAAATTGCACATAGAGGATTTTTTGGATTGGGAACGTGCTGTGGAGACGTTCTTTGAATACATGGATGTTCCTCGGGATAAGCAGGTGAAATATGTTGCTTGTCGATTGCGTGGTGGTGCGAGTGCGTGGTGGCAACAATTGTTGCAGACTCGGCACCGGGAGGGAAGAGGCAGCGTCCGGAGTTGGGCTAGGATGAAGCAACTCCTGCGGAGTCATTATCTCCCTACGGATTATGACCAAATCCTTTACATGAAGTTTCAGCAGTGCACACAAGGGCAGAGGAGTGTGAGCGATTACACTGAGGAGTTCTACCGCCTCAGCGCCCGTAACAACTTGAACGAATCGGCAAATCAAATTGTAGCTCGCTATGTTGGAGGGTTGAAGGAACCCATCCAAGACAAGCTTGAATTGAATTCTGTATGGTCTCTTTCCCAGGCGGTAAACTTTGCACTCAAAGCTGAAATGCAGCTAAATCGGCAGCTCCGCTCCGCACCGCAACGCCGCTTTTTGGGCGATTCTGTTTCCTCGGATAATAGGGGTCAGGGACCCAATCAGAGCAGCAATTCCAAGGTTCCCCCTAAGGCTTCAACAGCAACTACACCGCCTCAGCAAACTGGAGACAACCGGCAGGTTAATCGGATGAAAACACCAAGTCGGGACAACCCATACGGGCGGCCAACCACATTGAAGTGTTTCAGATGCTTCCAACCAGGCCACAAGTCCAACGAATGTCCGAATCGCCAGCAGGTACAACTTCTGGAAGGGGAATCGGAACATTTTACCACCACGGCTGAAGGCGAGGATGATGAAGATTATGAGGAGGTAGCTGGGGATGAAGGGGAGCCGGTTGTGTGTGTTCTCCAGAAATTGCTTCTTACACCTAATCATAACACAAAAACTCAACGCAACGCAATCTTCAAATCAAAATGTACAATCAAGGGGAAGGTATGTGACCTACTAATTGACAATGGATGTACAGAGAACATTGTCTCCAAGGCCTTGGTCAATGCGTTGCAACTCAAAACTACAAAAAACCCAAATCCTTATAGGATTAGCTGGGTTAAAAGGGGCATCGATATCCAAGTATCGGAGATGTGTCGGGTAAATTTCTCCATTGGAAAACATTACAACAGTGAAGTACTTTGCGACGTTCTCGACATGGACGTGTGCCATTTAATCCTGGGGAGACCTTGGCAGTTCGACACTGGTGTGATTTATGACGGGCGCGCTAATGCCTATGCCTTTGAATGGAAGGGGCGAAAACTCAAATTGCTGCCTACTGTGTTACGCCCAGCTAATGAAGATGCAGACCGAAAACCAGCACTGTGCATTGTCTCGGGAAATTCTCTCCTGAAATCTGGCCGAGAAGCGAAGGCTGTTCTGGCAGTTGTCGTGGCCGAGGAAAACCAGAATGTCACTATGGTAAATCATCCTCCTGAGTTACTACAGATTCTGGAAGAATTCGCTGATACCATTCCTAACAGCCTACCCAGCGAATTGCCGCCTGAAAGGTCAGTTCAACATCAGATTGATTTCGTACCTGGGGCTAATCTACCGAACTTGCCTCATTATAAAATGAGCCCGGCGGAACACAAGCAATTGCAGAATATAGTGGATGATTTATTGGACAAGCAGTTGATTCAACCGAGCCTAAGCCCGTGCGCAGTACCAGCCTTGTTGGTTCCAAAGAAAGACGGGTCGTGGCGAATGTGTATTGATAGCAGAGCTATCAATAAGATCACCTTGAAGTATCGGTTTCCAGTACCAAGGCTTGAAGATATGCTAGACTATTTGGCAGGAGCTACAGTATTTTCAAAGCTTGATTTGCGCAGCGGGTACCATCAGATCCGCATTCGGCCTGGCGACGAGTGGAAGACTGCTTTTAAAACTCGCAACGGCTTGTTTGAATGGCGTGTCATGCCATTCGGGTTGTGCAATGCACCGGCTACATTCTTGAGGCTGATGTCCGAGGTCCTAAAACCGCTTCTGGGGAAGTGTTGTGTCGTCTACTTCGACGATATACTGGTGTTTAGCTTGTCCATGGACGAGCATTGGAAGGATTTAAAGGCTGTCCTTGAGTTGCTGCGTCAACATAAGTTGTACCTGAATAAGGCAAAGTGTGAGTTGGCCACTTCCTCAGTGCATTTCCTTGGCTATATAGTGTCGGCGGATGGCGTGGGGATGGATCCAAATAAAATCAGTGCCATTCAACAGTGGCAACGGCCGAGTACCTTAACTGAAGTCCGCAGTTTCCATGGCTTAGCAAATTTCTACCGAAGATTTATTCGCGGATTTAGCATAATTATGGCACCGATCACTGATTGTTTGAAGGCTAGTTCGTTCAAGTGGGGAGAAGAGCAGCAACGGAGCTTCGATACCCTTAAAGCGGCACTCACAGAAGCCCCCGTCCTTGCAGCTCCTAATTTTAGCAAGCCATTTCATGTGGATACTGACGCTTCTGCGGTGGGAATTGGTGCCGTTCTGTCTCAAGAGGGACGGCCCGTAGAGTTCTTTAGCGAGAAGCTAAGTTCAGCCCGACAAAAGTGGTCGGCGTACGAA